TCGATCGATCGCTTACTCCTGGCTAGCCATCGGCTCTCTAGCTAGCTAGGCTACCAGCTAGCTAGCTAAACAGCTGCCCTGGCAGCCGGTGTGTTCTTGAATAAGGCCTTTTGGCAAGTGATCGACTAACTAGCCAGCTAGCTAGCTAGCGAGCTAGCTGGCTGCATGGCTAGCTAACTATGTCTAGCTAGCTAGCTAGCCAGTTGGCTAGCCAGTCAGCTAGCTGGCTAGCTACAACAAAACCACTCACGAAATCAGCGTCAAAACTATTACCGTTCTTTTAATGAGGGCAGAAAGACACCCACAGGAGGCTCTGAGAAATCTAAGGAAGGCAAAAGTTTCATCAACTCTTTACAATCTTTTAGCTTGCCGTCCCGCGCAGCAGCCACGAGCTTTCTGCCCGCCTCCTAAGAACAAGTAAAAGTACAATTAAATGAAAAAAGCCACTCAAAGAAGAGTTAAATAAAGATACATTTTAGGGGCAGCAGCAAGGAGGGGGGTCAGGGCGCCTCTAATGGACTACTTGTGAGAAAACACTCACAGTCATATTCACAACTATTCAAGACTCGCTCAAGGCAATTGTAATTGTTGCTGGAGGCTTTTTTTTGCAGAGTTGGGAAGGGGCTGAAGGCCGCAGCTTCAGCGGGGGCCACGGGAGACTAAATTCAGCAGCAGGAGTTGAAATAAGTCAAAGGAAGACCGAAAAATGCATAAGGAGGATGCATGCAGCTGCACATGCAATGCATGCGACTTGAAGAAAAATTGCGACGAAGTCGGGGCTGTGCGTTGCGCTCAGGCTCTTCCGTTAGATTAGGTGGAGAAAGCCAACAGGTAAATGGAATAACTGCAGCACTTCAGAGGCTTGAAAAAGAATAGAGAGTGTAGACTTCAAGGTTTCAATTCGTGAAAAAAAGAGGCACGTAGTGACGAGGAGAGAAGCTCCGGCAATTACCGAGAACCGGACCAGCGAGATTCGGCAGCGGGGCCAACTGAGAAAATAAATAGTTATAAGTGCTTGGTAATTAAACACGTGATTAAAAAGAGTTAAACATTTAATGGGCAAATTAATCAGCTTTCAACTTGGCGCAGGCTTCCTGAATTCCCGAGCAGGCTTCACGAGCATTGTGGAGGTGTCGGATGTGGCGGTTTGCCTGCTGAAATCGAAGCTATCAACAGCTCAAAAAAATAAAAACAATTAAATAAATACTTAAATTATTGAATTTTTGTGAAAAAGTTTTGTTAAAGATCAAGAAGGCCGCCATCTGTCGCGCTCGCTTCGGCTGCACCAAGAGTAGTGAGCAAGCCCAGCAGAGTTCCTTCGCAGGATTCTTCACAAATTGCACAGCTTCTTTCTTGCAATTCTTCAATAAGGACAAACATTAAACGGAAATTAAAAAAATAATTCGTTCCGGCAAACTGGGGGTTATTATAAGGAAGTGTCCCCATTCTACTGCTGCTGCGAAGCGCGCTACGCTTTGCTTGTTACAGTGCAAATTTTAACGTGATTTCACTTATGCCTGAACCTTTAAAAATCCAAATAAAGCATTCTTGAAGACATTTCATAAGTCCTTCAGACTATAGTTATGATGTGCGAACTGAGCCTGAGCAGTTGCAGGAAATGAAGTGCTCCTGAGGCCATTAATGGGCAGTTCACTGCATCTGCAGCACGGGCTTAGGCCTTAGGGTTTAGGGTTTAGGGTTTGGGATTTAGGGTTTAGGGTTAAGGGCTTGGGTGTTAGCTGTCCATTGAAAGACCGCTATGAGCGAACGCACACAACGGAGTGCTGCCGGTGCTGCTGCTGTCGTAGCAGCAAAATGAATTCTTCGTTGTTGTTGCTGCTGCTGCTTCTGCTGGTGCTGTGGCATCCTTGCTTGCCTGCTATTGCTGCGCCTGCGCAGCTGACGAGTTGGAGTCTCTTTCGCTGCTGCTTGCCTCTACGCTGCTGCTGCTGGCTGCTGCTACTGCTGCTGCTGCAGCTGCTGCTATATCAATGTGTAAATGCGTAACTATACAGACATTTAAATGTATTGGCGCTTATATGGCGCACACTGGCTGCCGCGTTTGTGCGTAGCAGCCAGTAACTCACAACTGATAGAGAATGGATTTACATATTGATTGAAATTGCATGCGTTTGGATATTTAAAGATCTTCTTCCTTCTGTGCGAGTGCTCGTGAATACATGAATTCGAAATGAATTCGTCTGGACGCACTAATGATACCCGTGAAAAACAAGTGTTCAAGGTTTATAATTTTACAAATATAGGTAAAGACGAGGGAAGAAACTCTTTAAATATCCAAACGCATGCAATTTCAACATATAAACTCCTCCCCTATGATTCTTCCATAAGAATCAATTGTGAGTTACTGGCTGCCGCGCACAACACCCACGAAGCATAAACACTACTACTTTCAAATGCCTATATAGTCCCACCGTTGCGTGTTTCGTTGAAGAGCATTTGGCTGCAACGCGTGCAATGATGGCTGGCGTGTTGACCGCGCTGTGCAGCCTCGAATTTGCAGAGGCAACGCTGTGTGGATTTGTTCTGGACTGATTGGCAAAGCGCTGCGTCAGCAGTGCAGCCTCAGTTGCTGCGTTTTGCTTCTAACTGCAGGGATGTGGGGGGAACATTTTTCCGCATAAGGCTTTTTTATGAAGTGTTGAGTGCTGCGTCACAGCGCAGAGCATCTTGAGAATAATGCAGCAACCCAGCCACAAATAACGTCCATTCACTTGCAATATTGTGTTGGAATGAAGGCAATGTTTTGCGCACAGTGGCTGGTAAATGTTTTCTTTTGGTGTTCGGGGAGCCGTACTTTAATTAAGAAGCTGCAGAGCTGATGTTGAGGCACAGCGTTTTGAACATATGTTGAGTACTCTTTGGCGGCCATTCTGGCTGTCCTGAGTGCCCAAGTGTTTCAAATAGAACTTCATGCAAGAGTCCAAAGTGGGCGATTTGCTTTAAGAAGTGGCAGCAGAGTGTGATGGTGTGCAGCCAGTGTGTTAGCGTAGGTGAAGTTGCTGCAGAGTGAGAGAAAACTTTCGAATTGAAACTTTGCAACTGCAAAAATGGAAGCTAATAAAAAGGAATATAAGTGTGAATACACCCGGCGCAGCTGAAATTATAAATGCAGCTATTCTGACTTCTTTGCTCCTGCATATTTGCTGCTGCGAAGCTGCAGCAGCAAAACTGACGCATTGGACTTCTTTGACTTGTCGAAACTCCCTCACTTGGCATTTTCATCTTCATTTATTCATTTTCATTTCATTGTTTAGTCTTGAAATCCCAGGAAACTTTTCCACCAAAAACATTGCAAACACCAATGTGCTATAGATACACCTCAGAAACCCTAAACCCTTAACTCTAAACTCAGGACTCTAAACTCAAGAGCCTAACCCTTCCAACCCCTGAGCTTTGCAGGCACAAACCCTAATCCCTAACATCTAAACCCTAGACGCTGACCGCCTAGATCTAAACCCTAAATTCCAACCAAAGACACTAAACCCTGCACCCTAAACCCGTCGCCATCAACCGCAGCTCATCCAGCTCTTTTCAATTCGCGAGAAAATGTTTAGGTGCTTCTAGTGGCTTCAAATGTATACAAAGAAACTTCAGCATGGAGGCCATTATATACTCTTCCGCGGTGGTTGCGAAAGTCTACTAAATTGCTTATGCTGCTTCAGGCGCTAAGCCTGCCGCTGCAGCAGCTGTTGCTGGAGCAGCTGCTGCAGCAGCTGCTGCTGTGGCGGTCTTGAGGCAAGGCAAATGCCACCGCACAACACTGGATAGCTTCCTTTGCTGCAGCAGCAGCACCTGCTGCTGCTCCTGTTTCTATTGCTTTTTAAAGCAGAAGCTGCTGCGCCAGCAGCAGCTATTTTTGCTTCTATTGCTTCTTAAAAAGAGCTGCTGCAGCAGCGTCTGCTGCTGCCTTTCGTTCTATCGCTCCGTAAAGCAATCGCTGCTGCGGCGGCAGCAGTTTCTGCGGAATCAGCAACTGCAGCAGCATTCGCTGCAGCAGCATTCGCTGCAGCAGCAGCAGCGCCAGCAGCTGCAGCAGCACTACCTGCAGCAGCAGCAGCGCGAGCTGCAGCAGCAGCAGCTGATTTTGCTGCTAAACTTGTTTGTTAGAAATCCTCTTCAGTCAAAAGCACTCTGGCTCCCAAGTCCTTAATTGCTTGAGGCTCTGGGGGATCGGGATCGTCATTGACCAGCGCCCGGCGAAGGGCTTCGGCCCGAGCAGCAAGTTCTGCTGCTGCAGCAATCTGCAGCAGCTCGGGGGGCTGTTCCTCCGCCTCCAAACCCGCTCCTGCTGCTGCTCCTGCTGCTGCTCCTGCTGCTGCTGCTGCTGCTGCTGCGGCAGCTGCTGCAGGTGACTGCTCCCCCTCGCCGCTGCTGCCGCCGCCCTCGCTGCTTGAGGAGGCTGTGACGCCTTCGCTGCTGCGGCTGTCCTCCAGATCCTGCATCAGCAACAGCAGCAGCAGCAGCAGCAGCAGCACACGGGAGACAAGCCCATGCAGAGAATGGCGGAAGAAGCAGCAAAGCGTAGACTGATGCAGCAGCAGCGAGAAGCGAGGCAGCAGCAGAACTGCGCCCTTACGTCGCTCTTTGCTGCTGCGCTGTTGCAGCAGTGCCCGCGCTGCAGCTGCTGCTGCGCCTTCGCTGCCCTGTGGGCTGCGGCGAGCCGAACCTTTGCCTTCCTGCTGCAGCAGAGCAGCAGCAGCAGCAGCACAAGAGCAGCAGCATTAAGGTGCGAGCCTGGGTGTGTCAGCAGCAACAAAGGAAGCTCATCGCAAAGAGCAGCGCAGGCAGCAGCCACAAATCAGCAGCACAGAGCAGCAGCAGCAGCCTCTGCCCCACCTTTCCCAGCCCCTGCCTCCTGCTGCAGCACCAGCAGCAGCAGCAGCAGCACTGTGTAGGCGCTCCTCGATGAGCTTCTCGAGCGGCTGGATGCTGAAGAAGCGGGCCTCGAGCAGCAGCTGCTGCAGCAGCCAAGGCTCATTGCTGCAGTGCAGCGAACCATTTCTAAGAAAGTCCAAAACATAAGAAAAAAGGTCCCCATTTCTATCAACAAATATTTCTTGGGGGCCCCCGGGGGCCCCCCTGGCAGCCAGCTGCTGCGAGAGGTAGTGGGGCCCGAAGCTGCAGAGGGTGGAGCAGGTCGTGGCGAACAGGCGGCCCCCCACGTCCAGCAGCAGCAACCCGCGATCTCCGGGCCGCCCTCACCGCTGGCTACGGGGTCTTGGCGCCAACTGCGACTGCTCTCCTCCTGCTCCATGCATTGGGGCTCTTGCTGCTGCTGTTGCTGCTGTTGCTGCTGTTGCTGCTGCTGCCCCTCTGCAGTGTGCTCCTCAGGTCTGCCCGGCTGCATGTTGAAGGCTTGCTGCTGCCTCTGCTGACTCTGCCGAGCCTCTTGTTGTTGTAGCTGTTGCTGCTGCTGCTGCTGCAAGAACCCGGCCACGCATAAAACAACCCCCCAAGTCTGGGAGTAAGCACAGCAGCAGCAGCAGCTGCAGCAGTACAGAAGCAGTCTTCTTCTCGTTTATGAATCAGCCCCGAAAAGAGGAGCTGCCACTGCAACAGGAGCAGCAGCACCAGCCCAGCACAGAGAAGAAGGCTTCTCCCAGATGCTGCAGAAAATCGGCAGCTGCTGCTGCCGCAGAGTGGCTGCTGCTGCCTACAGCCGCCCCTGCAGGAATTTAGGAAGCCGCAAAGCTGCAGACTGCAGCAGCAGCACTGGCGAACACCTCGGGGGTTTTGGCTGCTGCTGCCGCTGCTGTCTTGCTGACCGAGGCCGACAAGCAGCAGCAGCAGCAGCCGCAGCAGCAGCGGCTCACTGCTTAGGCCGCAGAAGAGCTGCTGCACTATGCAGCAGCAAATTTGGGCGGAGTCGTTTTAAAAGGCAGAAGACACACAAAATGCAGCAGCAAATACTGTCCCTCACCGCTGCAGCTGCGGCGTGTCGACTTCCATGCTGCTGCTGCTGCTGCTGCTGCTGCTGCTGCTGCTGCTGCTGCTGCTCTTGTGTTCAGGCAGCCCCGGAAGGCGGCAGCAGCTCTGCTGCTCCAACTTCTGCTGCTAGACAAGGAGCATCAACTGAGATCTGCTGCAAAAGAGTTAGAAATAAAAAAGAAAAAACGTTTCAGCAAGGAAGATGCCCTAGCAGTAACACCGGAGCCCGCGGATCAACAGTGCTGGAGGTTCTGCACAGACCGCTGCCGCAGGTGGAGCAGCAGCAGCAGCAGCAGCAGCTGCTGCTGCTGCTGCGGGGTATCTTATGTATACTTTTCCTTAACAAAGTGATTTGGTTGTTTCTTCAAGGAAGACACGGGCCCACAGGCGGTGTGGGGGCCTGGTGGGCGGCATAGCTCGATATTAAGGAAAGAGGCCTTAGCTGCTGCTGCTGCTGCTGCTGCTGCAAAGTGTCTTCCGCAGGGCTCAAAGCCTGAGGCGATGCGGAAGCATTGAGGAGGCTAAATGGAGGCGGGGAGCTCCCAAGACTGCCTGCTTCTGCGGCCGGTACGGCTCCTGCTGCCGGGGCTGCTGCTGCTGCTGCCGCTGCAACACACCAGCGCGGCCCCCCAAGAAGCCACGGCGGCCGCAGCAGCAGCAGCAGCAGCAGTCTCGTGCTGGGCTCATAGATCTTGCCGCTGAGAAGCTGCAACAGCAGCTTCCAGTGTGCCCGCTTGTCTTTCTAGTGGCGCCGCAACTTTGACCACAGCAGAAGCAGCGACAACGACAGCAGCAGCAAACAGCAGCAGCAACAACAGCAGCAACACAAACAGCAGCAGGAGCAACAGCACGGAGAATACGAGCTGCAGGCGCAGTTGGAACACCAGCGCAGTGTGATGCTCCAAGCAGCATTCAGGGCCTCTCGGGGGGCTTTGCCGCGCGATGCACAGCAGCAGAAACAGCAGCAGCAGCAGCAGCAGCAGGACTTGATGAATTAGTGCCTGCTGCAGCAGCGAAAGGCAGTGCTGCAGCTTCGTTGCCCGCAGCTGCAGCTGCAGTAGCAGCACGGCCTCGTAACGGGGCCTGTCTATACAGAATGGTGGCACTGCAGCAGCCGGTGCTGCTGCTGCGCACATTATTTGCCAGCAGCAGCAGCATCAGCAGCTCGAAGCTCAGCAGTTGCTGCCACAGCAGCAGCAACAGGAGGCTGCTATTCCCGGGAGCAGCACAGCGCGCCTCACGGAGGCGCTGCTGCTGCAGCAGCATCTCTTCTACCATTGGTGCAGCTTTTGCTGCAGCGCAGAGGGGCCTCCTAGCTGCTGCAGCAGCTGCAGCAGTTGCAGCAGCTCCTGCAGCAGCTGCAGCACCTAAAGGAGGCAGCGGAAGCAGCAGTCAGCACTGCGACGGCGGCAGCTGCAGTCTTAGCCCTCCAAGAAGGCGCCTTTACAGCAGCAAGTGCTTCTCAGTAAACCTCCAGCAGCAGCAGCAGCAGCAGCAGAAGCAGCAGCAGCAGCAAGGGGCTTTATGGTGGGAAGACGAAGACGCGGAAAACCGGCAGTTTATATCTGCTGCAACTCCGCCGTATTTGAGTGCGCAGCAGCAGCAACAGCAGCAGCAGCGGCAACAACGTGAGCAGCAACAGCAGCAGCAGCAGCAGCAGGGCCAGCAGTGCACACAGCAGCCAAATACTCTCCAAGTTGGAACCTCATCAGCTTCTTGCTTCGCAACAGAAGCTTTTGCTGCTGTTGCGCCGCCGGCAGCAGCAGCCGCAGCTAGCCCACCGACAGCAGCAGCAGCTACAGCAGCTACAGCAGCAGCAGCAGCAGCAGCGGGGCATGTGCCGCTGCTGCTAAGGACTGTGCCCCTAACTGCAGCAGAACGCAAAGAGCTGCTGCGCCTGTGGCGCCAGCTGGCCGGGGGGGGGCCCCTAAAGGCCCCCGAGGGGGGCCCCGTGGGGCCCCCCTTTGCTGCTTTTCTCGAGGCCAGGTGGGGCCTCCCGGTGGCTTTGCTGTCAGCAGCACAGACACAAAGGGCCTTTTTTCGCTGGCTGGACGCTGCGTTGCTGCAGCACCAGCAGCAGCTGCAGCAGCTGCAGCAGCAGCAGCAGCAGGAGCAGCAGGAACTTCAAGGCCCTGGCAGCAGCTTGGAAGCGCTGCAGGCGCAGGCCTTCACGGATTTGCTTCTCGCGCTGCGGGCGGAGTTCGACCTGCAAGCAGCAGCAGCAAGACAGACGCAGCAGAAGCCGCAGCAGCAGCTGCAGCTGCTGCTGCAGCGGTGGACAGGCGGCAGCAGCGCCGCTGCTGACGGGGAGCTGCTCAGCAGCACTTATGCACTGGTGAGTTGTGGGGTCTGCGGTGTACGTACACCCGAGCTGCAGTTCAGACGTTTAGCCTCCTCCGATGTGCTGCTACTGCTGCTGCTGCTGCTGCTGCTGCTGCTGCTGCTGCATGCAGCTGCTTGAGGTGTGCGCTGCAGCAGGAGTGACTCCAGGGGCCCCTGGGGGCCCTTTGAGGGGCCCCGAGGCTTCTCCTTTGGCTCATGCTGCTGCAGGCCCCATGCTGGCCCTTTACCGCCTTTACCTCGCAAGAGAAGGACTTGCTGCTGCTGTTGCGTACAAGAACGTCCTGAAACTCGCGGTGCGATGCTGCTGTTGCTGCTGCTGTCGCTGCTGCTTTTGCTGCCGCTGGTTCTGCTGCTGCTGCTGCTGCCGCTCCCGCTGCTGCTCCTGTTGCTGCCTCCGCTGCTGCCCCTGCAGCAGCAGCAGCAGCAGCAGCAGCAGCGCATTGCCGCCTGGGCGTGTGTGCGCCCCGCCTTGCGCCAGGACCTGAGGGCCCCCGAGGGCTGGTTTGCTGCAGCGCGGCAGCAGCGCCGCCGCGTGCACTTGTCGCTGGGGCCCCCCAACAGCGGCAAGACCCACAGTGCCCTGGGGGCCCTCGCGGGGGCCCCCCGCGGCTGCTACGTGGGGCCCCTGCGGCTGCTGGCCACGGAAGTCTACGGGGTGCTGCGCAGCAAAGGCAAGAGCTGCTCCCTCATCACGGGGCCCTCCAAGATCAAAGACCCTGTGAGCGACCCGCAGCCAGGGGCCCCCTGGGGGCCCCTCGGGGGCCCCCCGCACGACTGGCGCCACTTCCTGCTGCTGCTGCTGCTGCTCACGAGGCGCCGTTCGCCTGTTGCAGGTGCTGCTGCTGCTGTTGCTGCCTGCACACTGCGGCTGCGCGGGCGGTGAGAGGCCTGTCCCCCAAGGCCTCTTCCCCAAGCACTCCCATGCAGTTCCAGCCACGGCGCTGCTGCTGCTGCCGCTGCTGCTGCTGCTGCTGCTGCTGCTGCAGGCAGCCACCCACGTGTGCAGCACCGCGGAAGCAGCGCCCTTAGACAGAGACTTCGACCTTGCAGTCATCGACGAAGTGCAGCTCCTCGCAGACCCCCAGAGGGGCTTCGCCTGGACCCGGGCCTTTTTGGGACTCCGGGTACTCAGCTTTCTTTGCTGCTGCTCCTGCTGCTACTGCTGCTGCTGCTGCTGCTGCAGTAGTTGCTGCTGCTGCTGCTACAGTCGCTGTTGTGGCTGCTGCCGCTCTGCTTGCTGCCACTGCTGCTGCTACAATTGCTTCTGCCGCTACAGTTGCTGGTGCTGGTGGTGGTGCTGGTGCCGCTGCTTGCGCTGCTGCTGCTGCTGCTGCTGCTGCTGCTGCTGCTCGTGGAGCAAGGGACGCTGGCGCCCTGCCGGCAGGCCGTTTAGAAATGGTGGCCGTGGGCCGTTAGTTTGCGTTTGGCGTCGGGCCCTGCTGCCTCCGCTGCAGCTGCGACGCGATTTTCTGCTGCTGCTGCTGCTGCTGCTGCTGTGCTGCTGCGGCGAAGGCAAAAGAGCTGCACGTCTGCGGGGAAGAAGCAGCGGGGCCCCTAGTGGAGCGCCTGGCGCTGCTGTGCGGCGACCAGATCTGCAGCAGAGCCACGAGGCCCTCTCTCGCCAAAGTGCAGGTAAAGGAAGCAGCAGAACGCAAGCAATTAGCAGCAGCAGCAGCAGCAGCAGACTTGCTGCTGCTGCTGCCAGTCACGCCACACAGGGAACAGCCTAGCTATCCATTGCATAGCAGGGAGGGGAGGAAATGCCGCAGCAGCAGCAACGGAGCAGCAGCAGAGCAGCAGCAGAATAGCAGGTAGGGAATGCTAGGATTCGCTTGTGGCTGAAGCGGGGCTCCCCGGGGCGCAGCAGCAGCAGCCGCAGCTGCAGCAGCAGCAGCAGCAGGGTTCTGTGCTGCGTAGGTGGAGGCCCAGGCGCTGCCCGCCGACTGGACTTCAGCCCTGCAGCCTGGAGACTGTCTTTTAACATTTTCTGTTAGCTGCTGCTGGAAGCTTAAGGGACTTTTAGCTGCTGCAGGAGTGCAGCCGGCGCTGCTGTACGGACAGCTGCCGCCGGAGGTCCGTCGGCAGCAAACCAGAAGGTTCAACGACGCCGTGGCGGCGCATGCGCAGCAGCTGCAGCAGCAGCAGCAGCAGCAGCAGCAGCAGCAAGAGCAGCAAACGGAGCAGCAGCAGGAGCTGCCCTGCGGGGAAACAGGGCCTTCGCTCGCGGCAGCGGACTTGGCAGCTCCCCCACCAGGTCCACCGGCACCCTGTGCAGCAGCAGCTGCTGCTGCAGCACCCGCAGATGCAGCAGCAGCTCCTGCAGCAGCAGCAGCAGCAGCGCCGCCGCCGTACTCTGTGCTCATAGCAACGGACGCCATCGGACTGGGGGTGAACTTGTCAATTCGGAGAATTATTTTCACTTCAACTTTCAAATATGATGGGGCCTCTTTGAGGCCCCTGGGGGCCCCCGAAGTGCGGCAGCTGGCCCACAGGGCGGGCCGCTTTGGGGGCCCCTGGGGGCCCCAGGGGGGCCTCGTCAGTGCCCTGCAGCAGGACCAGCTGGAGGCTCTCCGGGGCCTCCTCGCAGGTGGGCCCCATTCTGCTGCTGTTCTGCTGCTGCTACTCCGCTGCTGCAGCTCTTCTGCTGCGGCTCTGCTGCTGCAGCTCTGTTGCTGCAGCTCTGCTGCAGCAGCTCTGCTGCTGCAGCTCTGCTGGAGCTCTGCGGTCCTGGGAGGTGCGTGGGGAGCTGCAGCAGCAGCAGCAGCAGCAGCAGCAGCAGCAGCAGCGTTTGAATTCGTCTGGGCTTCAGGGCTTGTGCTGCAGGCCCAAGTGACCCTGAGGCGACCCCGCTGCAGCGCGCGGCGCTGCTGCCGGAGAGTTGGGCCTTTGCCCTTTTTGCTAAATATGTTGCCCCTGGGCAGCAGCAAAATGCTGCAGCTGTGATGCAGCGGTGAGACAAGCCCTTAGCAGCAGCAGCAGCGAGGCCAGGGGCTGTTTCCCCGGCCAAGGCGCCCATCTGCTGCTGCTGCTGCTGCTGCTGCTGTTGCTGCTGCTGTGGCTGCAGGTTCCTATCGATGCTGCACACCCGCGAGCCCTACTTCGTGCCTCCTGCTGCTCTCCACAGGGCTGTTGCTGTTGCAGCTTTGCTGCAGGACATTCCGCTGACGCCGCAGGAGCTGTTTCTCTTCTGCGCAGCTCCAGTCTCCGTTTCTCCGCCTCTGCAGCAGCAGCAGCAGCAGCAGCAGCAGCAGCAGCAAGGCGGGGAGCTTGCGGCAGGGGAAGCAGGGGCGCAAGCGGCCAATTCGGCTGCAGCGCCGCCTGATGCAGCAGAACAACAGGCAGAGGCAGCAGCAACGGGAGACGCCGTGTCGAGCAACTCAGCGACAGCTGCAGCTGCTGCTGCACCTGCTGGTGCAGCTGCTGCTACAACTGCACCTGAGGCTGCTGCTGCTGCTGCTGCTGCTGCTAGCATTAGCCTCCCCATGCAGGCAGCGCTGCGGTCCTTTGCAGTTTCCCTGGCGGCGACCAGTGTGGTGCTGCTGCCCTCTCCCTTCCGCATTGTCCGCCGCACGGACAAACAGCAGCAGCAGCAGCAGCAGCAGCAGCAGCAAGCGCAGCCAGATCGCCGTTTCGCGCAGGAGTTCACAGAGGAGGGCCCCTGGGGGCCCTCTGCTGCTGCTGGAGTTGGGCTTTTCAATGAAGACTTAATGTGGGGCCCCTCAGAGACAGAAGAGACAGAAGCTTCGCCGCCAGAGACCCTGGAGGCCCTCAGGGCCTTGGAGGCGATTTATCAGGTATTTTGCGCTGTGCTGCTGCCCCGCTGCTTCTGCTGCGTTTGCTGCAGCAGCAGCAGCAGCAGCTGCTGCTGCTGCTGCTGCTGCTCCCTTGTCCGTTCGGCGCCTGCCGCTTCATTGCTGTGTGCTATCTGAGCCTGTCTGCCCAGCAGCAGCAAAGAAGCAAGTTTCGGCAAATTCAGCAGCAGCAGCAGCAGCAGCACGGCGCGCTGCAGCAGCAGCAGCTCTGTGGGGTCCGCGTATGCGCAGGTGCTGGAGCTTTACTTGTGGCTGGCAGCAAAGATGCCAGGGGCCTTTGTAGATGCTGCTGCTGCTGAAGCAGGAAGGGCTCTAGTGGCAGATCTTATAGAAGAGGCCCTTAATAGAGAAGAGCCCCTGCAGATCAAGGGGCCCTCAGGCTTCCTGGGGGCCCCCCAGGGGCCCCCCGAGCTATAGGGCTGCCTTGCTGCGGCAACCAGACAGCCCGGTGCCTCTGCTGCAGCGCAGCAGCTGCGCCTTTCTGTTGCTGCTGCTGCTGCTGCTGCTGCTGCTGCCCGCCTTTTCGACTTGGGGGGTCCCTGCTGCAGAGCGCACGCAGGCAACGGCGGGGGACGGGCGGCTGAACTGCTGGGGCCGCAGCAGCAGCACAGCAGCAGCGCAGCAGCAGCACAGGGACCGCCGCAGCAGCCACGGCCGTTGAGAAGCATAGGCACCTGAACAGCGCAGCCGTGTAGCCCTGAGGTGTATATACACCTGAAGGGCGGGGGCCCGTGCTCCAGCAGCGCGCAGGCCTGTGCTGCGCTGCGGCAGCAGCAGACGCAGGTTTTTGCTGCTCGCTCTGGCAGCCACTTAATTCTGTCTTTGAAATGGACTGCAGCAGCAACGTCTGCAGCTTTTTTGTCTCTGTTATGTCCCTCGTTGTCTTGTCTGTCTGCTAACTGCCGCTGCAGCTGGAGAAGCAGCAGCGGCTGCAGCTCAGCCCAAACACCTAATTGCTGGTGCAGCTGCTGCAGCTGCAACAGCAGCGGCAGCACCTCAGTATAAAAACCTAATTGCTTTTGTCGCTGCAGCAGCAGCAGTATCAGAAGCGCCTGTAACTCAGTCTTAAAGCTAACAGCCTGCAGCAGCAGGCAGTGGGCTCTTGCTGCGCAGCCCAAAGATCCCTACGGGCATGCATGCTTGTCAACACAGAAGCAGCAAAAGGGGCAAATAGGGGGGCCCCCAATTCCTTTTAATGCCGAAAGGCTCCTTGGGGGGCCCCCCAACCTGCCTACATCGCTGCGTCGCTGCGCCTGCTGCTGCAGTTGCTGCTGCCCTGCTGCTGCGCTGCTGCACGCAGCCACGGCCCAGCAAAGTCCCCCGACGCTGCTGCAGGCTTTGGGCCCAGGGCTTCTTGTGGCGGGGCAAGCTGCAGCTGGGTCTCAAGGGCCCCCAAGCGCCCCCAAGGTCCAGGGGACCGAGGGGCCTCCAGGGGCCCCGAGGGGCCCCCAGGGGCCCCGAGGGGCCCCCAAGCGACCCAAATAGCCCACTGATGAGGCCCAAAGGGCTCCGCTTTTGGGGCCCTAGGGGCTGAGAAGATCCAGCAAAAAACGGGGCCCTTGGGGCCCCAATTATGAGTTGAGTGGGGGCATGCCCTCTTCTGACACCCGGAGCCCTCTTGGGGCCCCCAAGGTCCCAAATGCGGGGCCCTGGGGGCCCCAAAAGGGCTTCATGTGTCAGAAGAGGGCATTGAGGGCCCCATAGATCGTCTTTTCGTCAAGTGTACGTACACTCCAGAAGCCAGCAATGTGGCCGTCGGGCCTCAGCAGCAGCAGAAGGTCTTCTGGGCGAATTTGGCCGCGGGCTTCTTTAGACAGCAGCGTAGAAGCAAAGTTGCCTGCGCAGCGCAACAGCAAAAAGGCAGCAGCAGCTGCTGCTGGCACTGCTGCGAGCTGCGCCGTCCCAGCCCCACAGCCCCACAGGAGGTCCAGTGGTGCACAGCTTACTCTTGACCTCTGGTCCACTGGTCACGCGCCGCCACCCACAGGGCGAAGGGGCCCCTGGGGGGCCCCCCCCCAAAGCTCCAAGGGCCTTTGCTTGCAGCTTGAAGGGCTCCAAACCCTGAGGGGCCCCCTCGGGGGAAGCAGAGGCCTCAAGGGTCTTTTCTTCTGCTGCCCACGTGACGCCAAAGACGAAGTCCGCTGGCGTGAACCTTGCAGGTGCTGCAGCAGCAGGTGCTGCAGCAGCAGGTGCTGCAGCAGCAGGTGCTGCAGCAGCAGGTGCTGCAGCAGCAGGTGATGCAGCAGCAGGTGATGCACCAGCAGGCGCTGCAGCGGCAGGTGCTGCAGCAGTAGGTGCTGCAGCGGCAGGCGCTGCACCAGACGGTGCTGCACCAGACGGTGCTGCAGCAGAAGGTGCTGCAGCAGAAGGTGCTGCAGCAGCAAGCGCTCTCTGAGTCTCTTTCCACTTGCTCAGGATGGCAAGAAGGCGAGGCTCGAAGCTCTCCGAAAGCAGCAGGAAGCAATAAGAACAAAGTGGGGAGGCAAGGGCGGGCAAATCCACTGTGGAAAGGCAGTAGACTGCAGCAGCAACAGCAGCAACAGCAGCAACAGCAGCAACATGGAACGTACGTCTCTTGCAGAAGCTACAAAACCTTAGCATCAGCAGCAAAAGCAGCAAGTCCTGCAGCAGCAGGCCCAACTGCCGCTACTACCGCTGCTGCCGCTGCTGCAGCTGCGACTCTGCAGCGCAGCCGCGGCCCCAAGAGGAGCCCGGGGGTCCCCGGGGCCCCGGACCCCTGGGGCACCCCTCCAGGGGCCCTCCGGGGCCCCCCGGGGGGCCCCTGGGGGGCCCCTGAGGGGCCCCTAAGGGCCCTCCGGGGGGCCCCAGGGAGGCCCCTGGGGGGCCTCTGAGGGGCCCCTGAGGGCCCTTCGGGGGGCCCCTGAGGGGCCCGAGGGCCCCCTGGGGGGCCCCTGGGGGGCCCCTGGGGCTGCAGGCGCAACCGAGAGGGTCACCTGCTGGGGCCTTCTCTTGAGGAAAATGCAGAAGGGCCTTAAGGGGGGCGTGGGGCACGCGGGCGCCCCGCCAGGCTGTGGGGAGCAGCCGGCCGGGGGACTCTGAGACCTGAAGGCATTAAAAGTTTTATTTCTTTTTAATTTCTTTGAAATCCCCAGAGGCCTTTCTCAACAATAATCCGACATAGGCTTAGGCAGTGCTTCAGGGGGACTCCCTGCCACGGGCCCGAAGCCTGTGGCTGGCTCCGCCTGCAGCTGCTGCTGCTGCTGCTTCTGCCGCTGCTGCAGGCGTTTTGCTGCTGCGGCTGCGCACTGCGGCGCTGCTGCGCTTTTGCCGACCTCTCTTAGAGCTCATCTACTGCTCAGCTGCTGCTGCTGCTGCTGCTGCTGCTGCTGCTCTCTAGCCTCTCCCTGGTCACTCTGGGACTGCTTCTGGCTGCGCTTTGCTAGGGTCTACGGGCCCCTGGGGCCCCCCAGGGCCCCCTACAGGGGCCCCGGGAGGCCGTCGAAACCCGCCGGGGGCCCCCAAGGGCCCCCGAGGGCCCCTGTTTCTGCGTACCTGGAGCTCAGGGGGCCCCCCCCCGCCACCCATGAGGGCCGACTTGGTGTAGGCGTAGCCCAAGTCCACTCCTTGGAATCTGAGGCCCAAATGAGTTTCTTCACTGCTTAGCAGCACTCGAATAGTCTCTAGCCGTTGGCTTCTGAGGGGCCCCACAGCCATTTGCAGCGCCGCCTGCGGGCCCCACACAGCGCAGCGCAGCGCAGCTGCAGCTGCGCAGGGGCCTCGGGGGGCCCCCAGGGGCCCCCTAGCTGCGGGCCACTCAAGGGGGCCCTCTCGCTGCCAGAAGCAGGCAGTTGTGCACCAATAAATTCATTAATTTGAAATAGATTTAAAACCAAAAGTATCCATTAAGTGCAGAAAAGAAACGTATACGCCTGTCAGTTAAAGGTGTATTTGTTCAATGTGTATGCATTTGTGTATATATACATACATATATATACATAATATATATATGTATATGTATTTATATATATGGGCTGCATATATATTTTACATATCCATCGAAACTAAGTGCTGAAGCAGCAGCGCAGGATCTCAGGGGCTAAAGCAGCTGGCAGCTGCAGCGACTGCTGCAGCAGCAGAAGCAGCAGAAGCAGCAGAAGCAGCAGCAAAATCCCCTTACCTGCCGTCTGCCTATGCTCATGAGCAGCTCCAGGGCCCCACCGGCGATTCGCCTTGAGGCCTCTGCTGCGACGCTGCCGAGCCCCTGGAGGCCAACTGCTGCTGCAACAGTTGCTGCTGCTGAAGCTGCAGCATTTGCTGCTGCTGACAGGCATCGTGCTGCTGTTGCTGCTGCTCCCCAGTGGAGCCCCAGCACTTCGGGGATGCAGCGGCCCGCGGAGAAGTTCTTGCGGGCAACAGCGCAGGTGTACTGCAGCACACGCACACACGCACAAGCTTGCTGCTGCTGCTGTTGCTGCGGCAGCAGCAGCTGCTGCTGCCGCTGTTGCTGCGGCAGCTGCTGCATGCTACTTGCCGCCGCGCAGTGTTCTTCAGACAGGGATTAGGGTTTACTTCTGCCACGAGTCTGCGCTCCTCTTCGTAGCTCTTCAAGATCTTTCCCGCCGGGTCCCCGCACTGGTGTTGCTGCTGCTGCTGCTGCTGCTGCTGCTGCTGCTGAGGGGCGAATGGGCCTTGTCGGAGGTGGTAACACTGGGCAATTTTCCAGGAGGCATTCAAGCAGTCTGCGAGGCCCAAATTCATACCCAGGCCCCCAGCTGGGGGCAGACAGTGCGCAGCATCCCCCGCCAGCAGCACCCGACCCCTGAGGGGCCCCCAAAGGGGGCCCCCAGCAGCAGGGGCCCTCTCGGGGGCCCCCTCGGGGGCCCCCATGGGGCCCCCTGAGGGTGGGCGTTCGACCGTCTCAGGGCCACTGCAGTGCTGCTGCGGGTCGGAGCTGCGGTCGCCATGGGCAGCGCAGTTGGGGGGGCCCCCGGGGGCCCCCCAGAGGGGCCCCCCGGGGCCCCCCGGGGGCCCCTCCGGGAGGTACTGGGCCGCAACTTTCGCGACCATCTGCCAGGGCCTAACGTCTTGGACTCGAATGTCAGAAAGGGGAGTTCCGGCAATGCGTTGGATGAGCTCTTCAGCCTGTTTTGTGTCTGCGTGGGCCTCCGGGGGGCCCCTCCAAAGGCTTCTGGAGGGGCCCCTCCGGGGGCCCCCCTGGGGCCCCTCGTCCAGGGGAAAGAAAGGGATGTGTGCCACAAATAAACCCTTTTTAAAACAGTGGCAAACCACCACTCCTATGCACTCTGCCCCCAGCACATAGTACAGCATGCCCCGGCCTTTGTAGCGGAGCAGCGCGGAGTGCCCGGGGCCCTCCAGGGGCCCCCAGCAGGGGGCCCCCTGGGGGCCCTTCTCACTGGTGTGCGGGGGCCCCTGAGAGGGGGCCCCGCTGTCGCGGGGGGCCCCCTTGGGCTGCGGGGGCCCCTCTTGGGGGCCCCCAACGGAGCCCCCCAGAGGCCTCTCGGGGGCCCCGCAGTCTGAGATAATGCCTGCAGCAGGAGCTTCCTCTTGCTGCTGTATTGCTTCTGACAGCTCTTTGGACCAAAATGTTATGTTTAAAAAGTGCTGCAGGGGGGGGCCCCCCAGCAGGGGGGCCCCCGCCCAGCGGCGTACCCTCGAGCTGGCGCCGTCGCAGCCAATTAAGAGGTCGCTGGTGACTTCGTAGTATTCAGGCTTGCTGCTGCTGCTGCTGCCCCCCACAGCTACCAACGAGGTCACGGGCCCTGAGCTGCTGCTGCTGCTGCTGCTGCTGCTGCTGCTGCTCGTCTGCTGAGTGGCCCCCAGCCACTGGGCGTTCAGCAGCAGCTGCAGGCCCGCGGGCTCAGCCGGCTGAGCTCGTGCTGCTTCTTCCTCTCTGCCTGCTGCTGGTCCCGCAGCAGCAGCAGCAGCAGCAGCAGCAGGTTGACCAGCTTCCAGCTGGCCCTTTGAAGGCTCGACCCACTGCGCAGAGGCTCTTGCTGCTGCTGCCTCGTACAGAATCGGCAGCAGCAAGTTCTGCGAAAGCTGCGTCATGTGGCAGGGGCTGTACTTGTCTTTGTAAGTGACCCGTCCGTCAGGAAGGGTCACCTCCTCGCAGCCTGTAGCAGCAGCAGCAGCAGCAGCAGCAGCAGCAGCAGCGGTACGTGCAGCAACCGCCAGTTCTGAAGCTCGAGCATTCTACAGTGCAACAACGAACGACCAGCAATCCGCAGTGAACAACCGTAATAGCAGCAGCAGCAGCAGCAGCAGCAGCAGCAGCGAATCAAAGAAAGGCAGCAATAGCTGCCTTCCCAACGCATGCTGCAGTGGCAGCAGCAGATAAAACTGCACGCTGCAGCAGCAAGAGCAGCTAGGCAGCATGCACAGCGGCAGCCATAGCAGATGAACAGCAGGCAGCAGCAGCAGGAGCATCAGCTGGCCAGCACCGAGTAGCAACAGCAGCAGCAGCAGCAGCAGCAGCAGCTGGAGAACACGCAGCAAGAGCAGCACCGAAAGCAGCTGGAAAGCCCGCAGCAGCAGCAGCAGCAACAACAACAAATCAAGAACAACAGCAACACCAGCAACAACACCAACCACAACAACAGCAGCAGCAGCAGCAGCAGCAGCAGCAGCAGCAGCAGCAGCAGCAGCAGACCGTGGAAGTGGTCGACGGCGCCCAAGCAGTGCTTGCTGACAGCAGCTAGCTGCGAGGTGTAGAGGAAGCAGCGCCAGTCCGCCAGCGAAGGCGCTGCTGCTTCCACTTGCAGGGCCAGGTGCCCCAGCTGC